TTTGACTGCATTGCTGTAAACTGTGTAATCCATCTCCAATCTCAGTGAGAAATGTGGACTTCTAGCAAAACAACAACTGTTCTTATATAAGACTAGGAAAAAGGCCTGTTGTGGAAATAAATACAACAAAATCTAGAAAGAGGCTCTGGGCGGGTCCCCTGGTCTTGGACACTCAGTGTCAATTTGCTGTGGCGACCTCAGCAGGGTATAATGACACTGAGTCCACCATTTTCTCCAGAGGAACTGATCTCTGCTACCTAGAAAACAGTTGTAATTTTGAGTGATCTCCAGCCCTCACCTGGAGATTGGCAACGATGGTTCCCCAGAAGGGAATAGTTGGTTTGGAGGGTGGAATCTATGGCTTTCTACCTGTCCGAGGTCCCACGCCTCCTGAAACCTCACCCTCTCCAAGCTCCATCCCTCACATCTCCAGGAATTTCCCACCTGCAGTTGGCAACCCTATCTCCTTCCAGGGGGCCACCTCAGCAGCATATAAGGATACAGAGCCCACCATTTTCTCCAGGGGAACTGATCTCTGCCATCTGGAAAGCAGTTGTAATTCGGAGTGATCTCCAGCCCTCACCTGGAGATTGGCCACATTTTACCTCAGAACAGCAAACTGTTTGGACTGTTAGAGGCAAAAGCCAATAAAGTCACATATGCAAACGACCTCTGTGTTTCGAGGCAAAGGCTAATGAGGCTGCATATGCAAATAACCTCTGTGTTCTGACTGCCTATGGGAGGGAGAGGAAAAGCAAACTGTTTAGAATGTTGGAGGCGAGACTCAAGCAATGCAGCCAGTGGATAGGGACAGATTCTGAGTGACACACCAGGGCGCCAACCAATTCCAGAGTGTGTGGAATGTTCTAGAGAAGTGCCACCACCATTCGGCTTTTATTTATAAGGGAGATGATAACCAATAGGTTAAAGAACAAACGAGTGGATAGTACCAATTCCTTCTTCTGTTAAGGTATCTTTCAGTTATGGCCCTAATCTCATCATGAGCAATGGAAGTATATAAGGAATGTAAAACACAGGAATCCTATATATGTCTTTCATTAGAAAGGAAGCTGTAGATTTCAGTATATCCTAAAGACAAAGCTTCCTGAACTGTGATCCTGAAAATAAATTTAATCTCAAAGGTAGGATATCTATTCATAGCTCTCTAACTGTCAGAGTTCCCAATGGTGGATGTATTCATCCCATGCAAATACCACATCAAGGGGTTGGGATGACTGCCCTCACAACTTGATGAAAAGTAAGCAGGAGCTGGTTCTATGGCATCCCATGTCTACTGCACCAATGGGTACTACCAAAGGGGGAAACATTCAGCTAGGTCCCACCATTGTTGGAACTGGCCTAATTATCTCAACCAAATGATTATGGAATGGCCCAGGATGAAAACCTTGACTGGGTTTCAAGATACATCTGTACTTATGAAAAACAAAACCTTGCTAAATTACCTAACATAACTTTTAAAGGTACTAGTCAACCTACCAGTCCTCTGGATTGTTTGCCTCCGGAGGCCTAACCTCCTGGCAGTGGAAGCAAAATAAATGAATCCCATACTCATGCATTGGCACCTGCATCAAACAGGATCTAACAGGTCACTGCTCCAAACTGGAACTGGTTAGAGGTGACCCAGCCTGGGCCATAGCCCTCTGTTCCCATGAAAGCCCAAGGCCTATGCAGGCCAGAGCTGAAGATATCTGGTGGTCATCAGAACATGTATCAGATCCCTTTGCCCTCTTTATTGTCGTGGTCCAGCAAATCACTAACTCCATCTCAAAGTCGAAAGTGCCTAGTCTGCTACTGCAGAAGTTTCCTACTGCCTTTACATGGCAGAACTAAGGATGCTCAGAGGTCTTTGATACCATATAATGTTCCCTGGTTTGTTGATCTGTTTTGGACCAGCAGATCACTAACCATCCTCAACCAGTGAAAGTGTCCAATCCATGATTGCAGCACCTCAGGGACACATCTCAGTGTGACTGAGCTAACATTTCACTAATACATCGTGCAGCACAAAAGGCCATCAAGGCTGCTGGTTGGAAAGTGGATCTCACGTTGGCCAGAACACAGAGCTACATCCTTGCACTTCCAGCCCCCAAGACTGTCATTCTTTTTTGGGGGGGGGCCTTGAAGGGATTTTTTTATTACATTTTTCTAAAGACTACAAATCTACAACGAAAATAAAGAAAGGGAACTACAATTAGGGATAAAGAAAAGAATACCCACTACTATCTAAAATCCCGAGAAGATCCTCAAAATTGCTTAAATACAAAGTCAGTTCTAAACTCACTAACAATTTTTTGAACTTAGTCAGATCTGCTAATACAACTTTTGAATCTTAAATTAACTGTTAAAAAGAAAAACCACAAAGCATCTTGTTACTACCTACCCTTTTCAAAGGCACAATACAGAGTCCTTCAGCCTTCATTTCTTCTTATCCTGTCTCCTTTGCAGTTTATAAGGACTTTTAGGAGCTGCTGCCCCCGTCTCTGACACAGAGTCCTCTCCAGAAGACCCCGAGTCCAGCTTGCCACTGAACTTACTGTTCTCTTAATCACCTTTCTCTTGCTCGCCCATCTGGATTTTCAAAAAGTCCCGTGCTTTAGAAACAGAGTCAATCTTT